TCGCAAAAACAATTTTTTCATAAGACAAGTTTAATGTAAAATTTTCCGCTCTTTCGAAATCCGCAGTCAAAAATAGGGTGTCCCATTAGAAAAAACCATCGTGACCTTGAAGTAACCTTCAAAATTGACCTCAAGGTCAAAACCAATGGTACAATTAAATGACCCCCTCTGTCCTGGTCAACTTTTATCTAAACCATTTTTTTGTAGATACCGTAATTTGGAAGATATTCGGATCCATAGACTAAAATGACTCACCCTGTATATAATTTTACTCTGCAATATATATTTTTTTTCTTTGTCTTAATAATAAGACATAATAATGTACAATCATATTTATTTCATTTTTCAATTATTTTATATATAAATAACTAAAACAACCAAAAATATAATCTCACTGTATTTATATGTACATGTGTAAATATTAATGTAGATAAATTCTTAATTCTGTTTTATATAAGACAAAATAGTAAAATTATACTTTTATATCTAATTTAGCTTAAAATTATTACATTACATTTTTATTATTGTTGTTGAAACGTTGCTGCAATATTATTAATGTTTTGTTTCCATTTTAATTTTCCTGTAATATCTCTGTTACATTACATTGCAATGTGCAATGATGTAACATTGCAGCAACATAACCGGAAGATTCTGTGCTGTATGGGTAATCACCATAAACTTCCGACAGCATTCGTTGACTTTCAGCAGCACTTTTCTTCAAATGGAAGCAAAATAGCAAAGCTATCCGCAAATTGCATTTTATTGGCACAAAATTCGGCATATTCTATGCTCAAAAAAACAATGTTGTTTATACTTCGGCAAAATGACACATACTGAAAACTAAAGCCACATGATGGTGCTTTGACATGAAAATAGCAACAATATGGCCCAATGCGATATATTACTAGTTACGCCATCTCTTGAAAATCCTTTAAAATTAATGCTCCCAATATATACGATTAGATAATATTCTAACATATTTATGTTATCTTTTTGAAGCCTCTCTGTAAGTTCTCAAGATACAATGAAATATCTTTTAGGGATTATTTTGTTAACGTATTGATATCCGGGTAAATTCAGATCTGAGTATCTTATGGGACATAAGTTTTAATTAAAACAATTATTAATACATGCTTTAGAGGGTTACAGTTAAGTGATTATATATGTATAGTATCTATCTCTCTGTTTTTCTATTTGTGTGTTGGTAGGTGTAGCAAAGAATGGTGCATACAAGTACGACGACGGTACAAAATATATCGGAGATTGGAATAGTAGAGGAATGAAACATGGCGCTGGTTTACTAGTTCTTCCGGATGGAACACGATACAATGGAACGTTGCAGAATGGATTGTGTTCTGGATTGGGAGTTATTATATTTCCTGATGGAGCAAAGTAATTTATTACATTTTGCATGTTTTGACCTTGTTATATCGTTGCTTTGTTTTATAATAATCAGTGTATATAGGTATATTTGTGTGCAAACTTTAAATTCTATTTTTTAGATATGAAGGGGAATTTATGCAAGGATGGTTCCATGGTCACGGTGTATTTTGGAGAGCTGATGGAATGAAATTCGAAGGGGAGTTTCGCGGTGGCCGTGTTTGGGGTTCAGGCATGTAATAGCATTGCAACAACTAATTGTACCTAATTACGACAATTATTAAGAAATATTTTTAAATATAATTTAGATGTAACCAGTTTATTTATTTGATCATCGTAGGTTTAGTGACTTATGCTGACGGATCACATGGATTTCCAAGGAATGAAGGTTTCTTCCAAGATTGTAGATTGGTAAGAAGAAGACGTTGTCTGGATATCGTGCAAAAGGCTCAAAAGATTTCTATGATGGCTCGTACTCAATGCAGCTAAATCGAAATAAAATGGATTATAAAAACTTAAAAACGCAAACTTGTAAAAAAACGTTTTAAAAATGTTGAAGAAAAGTAGGATGTTTTTTTAAACGTTTTTATGAAATATATAATGAATGAATAAATTTGCATTTACGATCTCTTAAATTCCAGAGTTACAATGTGTTTCTTGTTTTCTGTTTCTTATTTTTTATTTTCTTCTAACTACAAGTTCAAAGTCTTAATCAGAAAAAAATAAAGAAAAAGAAACAGAAAATAAAAAGCATATTGTAGAGCAAGATTTAAAAAAAAAATTATCAAATTGTTGCTTAGTAAATACAAGCTATTTACTGAGTATCAATACAAGTTTCAGAAGAGAGCCATTGTAATGGCGGGTGTATATCAGTTGGACACGGGGCAATTGGACACAGTCCAATCACAAGTCGCTGTTCCAAGGGACCCTACAAATGTCTCTGTGATTGGCTGTGTCCAAATGCACCGTGTCCAAGTGCACCACTCCCGTAATGGCACGTAGTAGAAAAAGAATTAAAACACTTTTTACAAGTTTAGGTACTGTCTAATGATATAAAAATGTTATATGTTATATATGCTCTAATATTACAAATACACAGTAGACAAAGTTATATTAATTCTATATAAATGCAATAAAATTGAATATTATCAGTAATATTGTATGAGTGTTTCCAGCAAGTTACTGATTAGTTATAATTTCCCTCTCAAAGATATAACATGTAATATAACACTGTTATATCCAGTTATATATTTTTACAATATCTCTGTTTTATAGAGTGTCTCGCATAAGACGTCCAAAAAGAAAAATATAAATAGAACAGATAAATATGAACAAATATTATAGAGGTCATTTCTTGAAAAACCATGTGAAATTTCGAGTTATTAAATAAAATAGATAGGCTAATCAAAGCGTGCGACGCAGCAGATAGGACATACGGCTCGCCGCGGCCAACGAAGAAAACGGACGATTGCTCGCGGGCCTATCTTATAGGCCAGAGAGGTGGGCCACAAACTTCGTGACGGTTATTGTGAAAAGAATAACACGTGCGCGAGAGAAAGAAATGGAACGTTATATATCTGTCTCCTTTCCGAGCAATTGTCCATTTTTTCCACCGGCCACGGTGAACCGTATGTCCCGTCTGCCGTGTTGCGCGCTCTGATTAGCCCATCTATTTTATTTAATAACTCGAAATCTTACGCAGTTGTTCGAAAAAATAACTTCTGCAATATTTTTTCACTTTTATCTGTTTTACTAATATTTATATTCTTAGATATCTTATGTGAGCCTGTATACTTAAGCTGTATACTTAAGCTTGTATACTTTTACGAAAAAAAACACCCAATTTTTGGTGTAAAAGAAAATATCCTCAAAAGAATTTTCAAATATTTAATGTAAATTCAGATCGTCAATGGACGCTTAATATCGAAATGAAGGTTAATCTTAAAGAACCTCAAATAAATGTAATCTCCAAATGAAGCTACCATCGAATAACCTGTATGGAATAAAAAATACATACGAAAAATTATTGGTATAGCATTGAAGAGCAATAGTTCTTCAATAATATACTATTATTAGGAGTACAAATAAGTCTCCGCCGTTTGACAAAAGATGGCCCCACCAGTAAGTTATGGTTGAAATTGTCAGATGTAAAACGTCATATCGTAAGGTTGGACATCTGGCAACACCATAACCTTGAAATATTAGCGATTTTGTATCAGCATCATATAATTTTTTTCGTGCGAAAATGTCGAGTTTTGAGCCGAATAAGCGTCATTTGCGGGAACTTTTGATTTACTTCTTTAATTTGAAGAAATCTGCAGCTGAGGCGCATCGATTGCTTGTAGAAGCATATGGTGAGGCTGCTTTAAGTGAGAGAAGTTGTCATGAGTGGTTTCAAAAGTTTAAGAATGGTGAGTTTGACATCGAAGACAAAGAACGTAGCGGAAGGCCGAAAGTGTACGAAAATGCGGAATTGGAAGCATTATTGGAGGAAAATCGTGCCAAACGCAAGAAGAACTTGTACTTACATTAGAAGTGACTCAACAAGCAATTTCACATCGTTTAAAATCGTTGGGAATGATTCAAAAGCAAGAAAATTGAGTTCCATATAAATTGAAGCCGAGAAACGTTGAACGCCGATTTTGCACATATGGAATGCTGCTTGCCAGGCATAAACGAAAGGGTTTTTTGCATCGTATAGTCACTGGTGATGAAAAATGGATCCACTACGATAACCCAAAGAAGAGGAAATCATGGGGACCACGTGGCCATGCTTCAACATCGACAGCCAAGCCGAATATTCATGAAAAAAAACTCATGTTGTGTATTTGGTGGGATCAGCTTGGTGTCGTGTATTATGAGTTGCTCAAATCGAACGAAACCATTACTGGGG